TTCCATACCTTTTTTTTTCATTCTTGAGATACTTTACTCCATCCAGGTAAACACAGAAGATGTAAAGTCTCCATCTTTTCTTATGGCTGAATAGTACTCTATGGTATACATAAACCACAGTTATGCAGATTTTTAACTGCTCAGTTTCAGTCTGCTTAACCCTTGTGGTGTTCAAGTGTCAACTGTATCCTAAAAACCATTTAATTGTGCATATAAAATGGATAAATTTTACAGTGTGTGAATTATATCTCAAAGACATTTTTAAAAATAATAAAGATGACAATCTATGGTGAGACGGTACTTTTTTTGCCCCCAGATTTCTAGGTTGTGACCTAAGTTTTGTCTAAGAGAATGTTTTAGTATTTCCTTGGTGTGTACCTATATCTTCGGGTGTATTTTCCAGCTGCAGAGTATATAAAAAACTATTAATTATGACTCAGTTCATGTAAAAAAGATAAAGCCTGGATGGTACCTGTGGCTCAAAGGAGTAGGGTGCCGGCCCCATATGCCAGAGGTGGTGGGTTCAAACCCCGGCCCGGTCAAAAACTGCTATAAATAAATAAAGCCTCAGGCAGCGCCTGTGGCTCAAAGGAGTAGGGTGCTGGCCCCATATACTGGAGGTGGCGGGTTCAAACCTGGCCCCTGCCAAAAACTGCAAAAAAAAGATAAAGCCTCATCAAAGCAGTGCTGAACTACCCCTTGCTTTTAAAATTGCTTACTAGAGCTACAAAATAGATACATGATTTATTGAATTTCTTTTTTCTTTCTTTTTTCTTTTCTTTTTTTTTTTTGGTAGAGACAGTCTCATTTTATTGCTCTTGGTAGAGTGCTGTGGCATCACAGCTCACAGCAACCTCCAGTTCTTGGGCTTAGGTGATTCTCTTGCCTCAGCCTCCCGAGTAGCTGGGATTACAGGCACCTACCATAACACCCAGCTAGTTTTTGTTGCAGTTTGGCTGGGGCCAGGTTCAAACCCACCACCCTTGGTATATGGGGCCGGCACCCTACCCACTGAGCCACAGGTGCCACCCAATTTATTGAATTTCTTTTGCATACATAGGGACACAGTAACAGGTACTGTAAAGTTGTTGGGTTAAATGTGAGATCAGCTTAACCTTAAGGACAAGAGCTGTTTAGAAAAAGTGAATTTGAGATTGGCGTATAAATTGATGGGAATGGGTATATACTTTGAAAAAAGCCTTTTCCTGGCTCGGCGCCTGTGGCTCAAGCGGCTAAGGCGCCAGCCACATACACCTAAGGTGGCGGGTTCGAATCCCCAGCCTGGACCC